TGTACATTAGCAGCAGTATGTTTACATCTGTACATTAGCAGCAGTATGTTTACATCTGTACATTAGCAGCAGTATGTTTACATCTGTACATTAGCAGCAGTATGTTTACATCTGTACATTAGCAGCAGTATGTTTACATCTGTACATTAGCAGCAGTATGTTTACATCTGTACGTTAGCAGCAGTATGTTTACATCTGTACGTTAGCAGCAGTATGTTTACATCTGTACATTAGCAGCAGTATGTTTACATCTGTACATTAGCAACAGTATGTTTACATCTGTACATTAGCAGCAGTATGTTTACATCTGTACATGTTAGCAGCAGTATGTTTACATCTGTACATTAGCAGCAGTATGTTTACATCTGTACATTAGCAGCAGTATGTTTACATCTGTACATTAGCAGCAGTATGTTTACATCTGTACATTAGCAGCAGTATGTTTACATCTGTACATTAGCAACAGTATGTTTACATCTGTACATTAGCAGCAGTATGTTTACATCTGTACATTAGCAGCAGTATGTTAGCATCTGTACATTAGCAACCCAAAACCTACACCATGACTAAAATCCTTCAGCTCTGGTCGTCCTGACCAAGACCAACATCTGGAGATGGGTCCCGACCGAGACCCTATAGTGGGTCAAATGCAGAACATTTCCAAAAGAGGATAACACAATAGATTTTTCACAAAAGGATAATGGAGAATAGTAGTTGAAATGAGACTTTTCTGAGATATGTCACATGTTATCAACGCTATGTTGTTGTTAAACCTGAATTTGCACAAATACGGTCGGAACAGGGCCTTTCTGAGTGGAGTTTGCATGTTCTCCCCGTGTCTGCGTAGGTTTCCTCCGGGTGCTCCGGTTTCCCCTACCACTAAAAACATGCACAATAGGTCTGAATGTAAATGAGAGAGTGAATGGATGGTGTTGGAGCTGATGGTCCAGTGTGTTCTGGACTCGCTTCTGTCATCACCGTGTGTGGAAGGATTGGAACAATATCTGACTCTGAACATTGTAAAGCGCTTTGGGTCTGTACCTTGGTCTGTGAAATGCGCTATATAAATAAACATTACTTACTACTACAAATAAGTTGAATTCTTTAGGTCAAATGATAAAACTCTGCATCACAATACTGACCCCACTGTGATCTCTTACCTTCCTGAAAAAATAAAAACTTTAAAACATCAGCTCTCGTCTCAAAGCATCAAAGAGCGACAAAGCAAACGAATAAGATAAAGATTGTGATCTGATTCCAAGACCTTCCTCAGGGACAAACAAAGCTAGTTTTAATATAAACCGTATTATCCATATATAACATTTCAATGAGACAGAAATAAAGAATACGCCAACCTCTTTGTCATACTTCTTGGATTGATAGAGTTTCTTTGGCTTCCATGTTAAGACATCTTTCATCAGCAGCCACACCCTCCACAGCCGGGGATCGTTCCCAAACTTTGAGCCCACATCTGGAGTGACGTCAGCCCCAGAGCAGGCTGCAGACACCGACCCTGCACTGATCTGTCACGTTACATCACACACACAAAAACCAAAGCGGAGTGAGCGTGCACGTTTACAGTTCTGCACAAGTAATGTCTACAACAGAAAGGTCAGTGTCGCAAAGATTGATTGCTCAACGTAAGGTCTGCAGTAGAGTTCTCAGTTTAAGTTTCACTCTAAGTCACTGTAACTATGTCACTTCTCTTTTGATGCCCTCCCATTGAAATGCATTTTGATAGCCTCAGCAGAACGAGCCTGGTAAAAGTAAAACGTGAATACACCAGATCACAATATACCACAGACTACAGTACTACATATCTGATATTTACTGTTATCAGTATACTGTATTATTTCATATCTGATAATTCTGCCTTCCACCGTCACTTTACCTGTTGATATTATTTCTGATGTTTATTCTGCTCATATTCTCATATTCTCCGCTGCTAATGTATAATATAGACATCTGTAAATACTCCGAACCAAGTGCAATTGTAGCCCAGATTTTCTTTATTTTTTTTATTTTATTTTATCTTAAATTTATTGTCTATTATCTTAAATAATAGACTTTGATGTGTGCAATCTGAGTGCTCTTATTTCCTTTCTCTGCTGTAATGTGCAACGATGACACTGACATTTCTCCACTGTGAGACTAATAAAGGTTTATCTTACAACATGCTGTCTTTATCATCATAGAAACATGTGATTTTTGCACATGTTCTTCACGATCTGACTCTGATTTGACTCTCTCTTTTTCATTTTTCTGTCAGAGTCCAAAACTGCATGCATTCAATTCAACTAAATTCAATATGAAAACTGCAGTGATAAACCCAAACTTGTTTAAAGGAGCAGTATGTAAACATGTGGCCAAAAGTGGTACTGCAGCCTCTCCCACTCTCCCTGACTCAGGTTGCCAGATATGCAGACGAATCCAGCTGGGACCATAACAGCTGAATAGACAAGAGTTATGTCAACAACAAATCTATAACCAACACCTTTTTCTCAAAGATATAAATCCTGGTTTCCATGTGACTTTACCAGTGAGATTAGCTCGGCGCAGTGAGTTCTGGCGCCTCGATCACAGACTTTGTGATTGATAAAACGTGGGGGGCGGGACATGAAGATGAAAACAATAACAAGATTTACGAGCTGTAAAACCAATTTTGAAATCCAAATATCTCTGAACTGCTGTTAAATATTGCTACTTTAAGAGTGAGCAACTAGTTTCATAGATTTTAGAGTTCCTAGCTTCAATAAAAACACAAAATAAAACTAACAGACCACAATATCCTGTCTTTATCTTATGACAAAACTGTTTTGAGCGAGAACTGAATTTAATACATAGTAAAATCTTTAAAAGATATGTACTCAAGCTCCATCCATTCCATCCATTTTCTTCCACTTCATCCGTTGCCGGGTCGCGGGGTACTCAAGCTCCTAAAGTAAAATAATATCAAATTTCACAATAAATGACTCAAACAACACCGACACAGATTGAGCATTCTCCTTTAAGTGTGTTCAGCAGAAGGGGGTCTTGCATTGATTTCATGTAAAAAGCTCTCTTGATGCCTTGTTAGCGCAGTAGGCAACGCAGTAGGCAACGCGTCAGTCTCAAAATCTGAAGGTCGTGAGTTCGATTCTCACTCAGGGCACTTTAGCAAGGCACCATATGAACGGGACGGCCATTTTGTTTGGAAGTTAGCACAGTCTGATTTGTTGAAGATGGAACTTTTGTTGCTCTCTCAATAGACAGTGTGTCAATCTCATCTGACGCGTGGCCTACTGCACTAACAAGGCAACAAGAGAGTATCTTACAACAAGTCAAACTGACCATTTATTTGTACGTCTTTCAAATATGCTGTTTTGCTAAAGTGCCCAGTGTGAGGATCGAACTCACAACCTTCAATTTATGAGACTGAGCGCTAACAAGGCCACAGGAGAAATCTACAACAAGTCAAACTGTGCTAACTTCCAAAACAAACGGACCATTTATTCGTATGTTTTTTAATATGGTGTTTTGCTAAAGTGCCCTGTGTGAGGATCGAACTCACAACCTTCAGATTATGAGATTGACACACTGCCTATTGAGAGAGCAACAAAAGAGCCATCTTCCACAAATCAAACTGTGCTAACTTCCAAACAAAATGGCCATATTTTTCATATAGTGCCTTGCTAAAGTGCCCTGTGTGAGGATCGAACTCAAGACCTTCAGATTATGAGACTGAGCGCTAACAAGGCCACAGGAGAAATCAAAGTCAAACTGTGCTAACTTCCAAACAAACGGACCATTTATTCATATGTTTTTTAATATGGTGTTTTGCTAAAGTGCCCTGTGTGAGGATCGAACTCAGATTGTTTACTTTAGGGGTCCCAGACTAAAGAGTTTGAGACCCTATGTACAGTAACCTTACAGTAACATTCTTAATCAACATACTCGAAAGCATTTGTTCTTACTATTTGACACACCATATTTGCAGAGCTTGATCCTGTCCTCCCCAGCCAAAGCGCTGTGAGTGAAGGTCCCAGCAGCAGAGGCGGGGGTCCCAGCCTGAATGGACCCAGCAGGGGGGCTGTGTGTTTATCTAACAGGGGTAAAGACAAACAAATCACTCCTCTCTTGTTATTGTGAAGAGCCTGGGATTTCACCTGCAGTTGGGCTGGTTAGTGCATAATTAGTTTGGTATTGATGTTATACCAACAGGCAGAGTGTGACTAAATCAGGAAGTCATTGATTTTTTTTAAAGGTTACAACAGGTCAGAAAAATAAGGTTTTTGAAAGTGTTACATTTGTGCAGTAAAAACATCTGGCAAGCAATAACCTCTCCATGATAACAAGTAATAAGTCGCGCAGTGCATCTTTAAATTAACCATAGTGAACCGGAGGACTCCCGTAGATTACAGAAAATGGACGTATGCATAAACGTGTTGCTCTTAAATGTCCCCATCCATGAAGCACTAGTGCAGAAATCACTGAATGGGTTAAATTTGACTCATGGCTTTGAGAAAAAAGTCGAAAAATGACTCAAATTCCTCCGCCGCTCTGTGGGTAAGAAGAAAAAGTTCCCCATCACTGTAAAACGCGTTCTATTTTTAACCAGTACGTGAATAATAATACAATAATACAAAAAGCGTGTAAAGATGAGTCATTACTTTGCGTGAAGGTTGAGGTTCAAAGATCTCAGGGGGTGGATAGGTCCGCGCAGATCGAGGCGGAAGGATATCTTTTTTGTGTCTTCAGATTTGAGTGACTTCAGTGGGAGACTGCTGCGCGCACGGAGCCGTCTCCAAACGCACACGCTCTTTTAACACTTTTTATGCTATTTTATCCTCAACTGCGCGCACAACACAGAAAGGATACCGTTTCACATGCTTTAGACGTCCCTGGAATGTGTCTTTCATCACTTTTTCAGCCCTAGTTTTCTTGTTTTTTGGAGCTGTAGGACTTAGAAAAACTTTGCGTCCCCGGAGACCTGGCGACCTTATGTGGATTTTAAAGAGAAAATGGAGCTGCTGCTCGGGTTCTCCTCGGGAAAATCACTGATATTTATGGCTTTTCTCGTGCACGTCTCTTTGGGTATGTTGATATATGATTCTTTTGTCTGTTTGATACGTTTTAAACAGATAGAGGCGAGAGTTTGGCTGCCCGTACCTCTGCAGCGCTGCACTGCCTTACTTGCCTGTTGTATATGCTTTAGTAATATGCAATACTTATACACGACAGTATGCTCTCAAACACGTCCTACGTCTGGAATTACTCCTAGAATAGATCACTGCACCACTTTAATTATCTGTATTTATGTTCACAAGTTTTAGGAGACGCAACATTTATTAACAGGCTACATTTTTACAGTCTGTCTATCGTCCCTTTGACTTTAGTGCAGACCTACATTGATACATGTCACTTAATACTAGTATAAGGTGAATAATGACATTTAAAGCGTCGTTGAGTGTCCAAAAAAGCACTATATCAAACCGATGCATTATTATTATTATTATTATTATTATTATTATTAAGTAAAACTATAGATACATGCATAATATCAACTCTAAAGCTGTAAAAGAATGTAAGAACAACATATTTATTTCAGACATATTAAGCAAAAATACAAATGCTTACAAATGTATGCATCTACAACATTATGGGCGGCACGGTGGCTGAGTGGATAGCACTCTCGCCTTTCAGCAATAAGGTCCTGGGTTCGAATCCCAGTTGGACCAGGTTGAGTCTGAGTGGAGTTTTCATGTTCTCCCCGTGTCTGCTCCGGTTTCCCCTACCACTAAAAATATGTTCAATAGGTACTGGCGACCCCACTCCCAAAAACAATCACAATTGTAAACCGAAAAAGAAGGCGGTATATAAATAAAGACTACTTACTACTACTATGCTGTTGTAGAAATATGTCATATACTGGCAGAAACGTTTGCTTCTAAAGGTTTATACGAACCTAGAAGCGTGGCTAACGACAATGAATTAATTAACTTAATTCATACCAAACCATTGCCATCTCCTTTTAGAATATGGGACGTAGAAAGTACAGATCTATACTTGGATTTTGAAAGAGTAACAGTATAAAAGTTGTTTAAAAATAAGTCAAGTGACGTACTGCTGTCAGGGTGGAAAGTACTAAAAAATACGTAGTAACCTCTGAATCTAACAAAAAACCCAAAAGCAATTTGGTCTTTCAATAAGTCTGTTAGCATTGTTTTTGGGTTTTTTGGCTCAGTAACATCTCTGCTTGCATCTCTGCTTCTTCTTCTGGGGATGATCTTGGCTCACACCCTTGGTACTGCCACATGTGTCACCCATTGTAAAATTAAACAGATAATAATCATAATGAAATACACCTTTCACTCATCAGCAGTTGTTTTAGTCATGCCACAGGCCTCTTGAACTGGCCTGACTGTCAGTAGATGTGTGTGCATACGCTGTGAAGACTGTAGTTGATGGTGAATGCATGACTTGTGGACAGAAAGCTTGCACAAAATGGAGAAAACACAATGCAAAGTGCTTCAGGCCCAGTGCAAGGAGAAGCTCTGGAATGTAGTTTGTGTTTGACATTCCTCTCTCACACTAAGCACACAGTCACCACCGCACACCTAGCCGCCTATGGTTCATATACAGACTGGGAAATATATGCCATGATGAGCTCTGTGGGAAACTCACAATACGCACAATATGCAACAGTTATATAGGCCCAAAACAAGTAAGAGAAACTTTTATCAGATGATTCAGTTTGGGCTTGGAATCGCGATACTTGTGTGTGCAATCCTTTGTTCTTGTGTTCAGCCTGAGCAAAAAGTGACTTGATTAGGCCTGTAGTTAATGATACTGTTATCCTGTAATTTAATCGATTACTTGTATCGATAAACTTTCTCCAGCCCGAGACCTGATACTAAACAATTTGACATTATGGTGATGATTCGGAAGCTTTGTCGTTCTTTCATTAGTGATTTTGTAGCAGAAAAGGTTTTTAAAGTTTCATACTGTGCCCATTTTCAGCATTAAAACGTACCCAATATTTTCCGATTCAAGAACAGACTAATACTTACATAAATCTGTATCTATTCTCAATTCTAGTTGAAGTATCATTCTTGATTTTCTATGCTTTTGACAACCCTTGCCCACTCAGCATGTTCCCTAATTGGCTCCAAACACCCTCTTATCACTTGAATTATTCCCCTTATGTCAGCATTACCAAGATGACACTTGCAGAACCAAAAATCTCACCCCTCTACAAAGTTCGCACACATTTCTGAATACCAAACACAACACTTTGAATCGTTGCTTGTATTTTTAGGAAGTGTGGGTGCCTGCCATCTTCTCCGCGGCACACGACTACAACGGTTGTCCTCTCAGTGTGGGCCGGCGGATGGCTGCATGTATTTACCCGGAGAACACAGCTGACTTGCATGTGCATATGTCTGAAGAATCTCACAACAGCCACTGAAGCCAGACTGGTGTGAAGTGTGTGTTTTATTCGCCCCAGGCCCAAGACAAAGCTGTTTATTGAGCTGCCCACGTTAGCGACCAGCAGATCTGCCCACTGCCTCACAGCCGTGTTACAAATGACCACAAATGACCACACCCTCCCTTTTCACTTTGATTTTATCCATTTGCTTTGTCTACTCCCTTGCAGTTGCACAGATACGTTTGCCCCCTTCTTTAAGTGCAGGGTCACTTTCAGTTCAACCTTCTCCGCCCCTTTGATTAGTTGTATAAAGTTAAAACGCCAGACCTCACCACGTGCCAGTGTGGCGTCGGCTGCAGAATAAGTTAGCCATTTGTTGCATAGTTGAAACAAATGTACAAAGACTAGATTAAATTATAATAAGTCAAATTAAATGTTTCAAGACAAAGTGCTGAAGTCATTCTTATGAAAGAGGGTCTTTCATAATAGTAACTTCAGCTTTTGGTTAAATGGAGAAGTTTGCCATTACACAGCATTTATTAAAATGACTTTGAATGAGATGGATCCATAATGGTTGAAATATGAGCTTTACCGTATTGTAAAGATCGATTTCCTTAATTAGCCTAAAAGCTGCACTATTTTAGCAACATTTTACAAGCTTTTTGAGAAACATTGCAACGTTAGACACCAGACGGGTGCTCATCAAAGACCGAATTTGAAACCATTGAAGACAGAAGAAGAGCCTCTATGAAGACAGACCAGTTCCAATTGAGCCTCAACCATTCCATGCTGGGATGTCTACATAAACCTCGTTTCCACCAGCCCTACTTGGCCCAACTATACTCTACTTGGCTCTACTTTCCCCTGATTGGCTCGGTTTAACCAGTACCAAGTATTTTTTTTTAGTTCAGCCCTGGATCTAACCAGACTGAGCTGATACTAAAGTGTCCTACCAGAGATTGGCCCGAGTTCAGGAAGCCATGGTATCCCCCAATACGGCTTTATTGTGGGTAGGTTTCTGGCGTACATTACCAGATGCTAAAGAGAGTTAGCAGGGCTGGTGGAAACGAGGCATTAGAGGCTGTCCAACTTCAAGAGAGTCACACGTGAACGATTAAGAATGGGTGAGAGTTTTTTTCAGTTTCTATTAGTAGAATTAATTAACTGATATTAATAATAATGATGATAATAATAATTAATACTTTTATTTGAGAAAGACCCTAACCCATTGAACAAATGGAAAATTTGATAATGCTAATGTGACCACAAAAAATGCGATTTGATTAATCTTGCAGCCCTACATAATTACCTATGAATTGAAGGTCAAGTATATTAATCTATATTTGTTTTAATTTTGTGCAGTGGCTTTCACAATATGAGCTGTACACTTTATTTAGACTGACTGCAGGTCAGCTACAAGGTTATTATTTTTGATTAAGAAAAAAGATTGTTGTTTTGCTTTGCCTTTGAAAAAACGCTGCTCTTGGTTTTCCAAGATGGCTGAATTACGATGCCTGCAACCTGTTAGTTTCATCAAACTCAAAAAGCCAGTCAAGTGTAAAAACATTACAATCGTACTCACTGATCTACCCAAACTCTGGGCAACGCAACACTTAGAACTGGACCCAACAGTAAATCTTTTGCCATTTAATGATAAGAACACAGTTGAAGTAAGGATGAGACATGGCAGACATTCACTGGCACCAAAGGAGAAGGTGTTTGGAGGCTGTGAGGGTCGAGAGGATTACAAAGTGTTTTGTCTCCGCTGTTGAACAGGTTAGCAAATTAACAGGGAATTACTGCTGCCCGCATTCTTCTGCCAACACAGCCTCGTAATCCTGGAGACTCCTGATGAAACCAGCGGGTCACAGCAGGAAGTCAAAACCTCCGAACTCTACAATCATTTTAGTAATAACACATGACAAAGCTGACATTTTGTTTTTGGGTTTTTCACTATTTAACAATTAAAGGCCTTTTATCTCTTTCTGTTTTCCCATAGAAGTTGTTGTAACTTAAATATATAAATCAGTAAATTAAAAGTCAGACAGCTTGAGTGCTCACTTCTATTCTCTTTTTCATAAATGACATTCAGTTCACATTAATAATACTGTTCAGATCTGGTTACTATCGTGCCAAAATGAGCCTCTACATAATATTACATTGAACGCTGTAAAATACAAAAGAAACACATCTTTTCCTCTTTTATTTTGACCTATATTTTTATCCAAGACAAAGAACTGCAGGTAATGACCTCCTGCACTCATTCTGTTGTGCTGCTGGGAATATTTTGACCTCCACAAAATGCAAAGTGTTGTTTCTTATCGACTTGTCAGCAAAACTGATAGTACAGCTCTGAATACTGTAGCCTATGGACATCAATGGAAGAACTGGCTTTTATAGATATCTATCTGTGTTCTACTGCAGTAAACTAGCAGTGAACAAAAGGCCACATGTAAATCAGGCTTGCTGTTGCTTTGAAATTCTTAAGTATTTGTGGTTTTTTTCGTCATTCTACTTAATGATCCTTCCTGGTTACCATAAGTCACCGTGTTTTGAGTAAGCCGAGCATCTCATTGTCAACCTTCTACTACCTGCTCTCTCACGACACTGTTTGAGTGGGCCAGTAGAGCTCCCCTCAGGGTGAAAGTGTTTGGGTTGAGCCCTACACTCCTCCTTCTCGCTGGGCTAAGGGCATTTCATTGCGCATTTGTTTCCATGACAACTGGTTCGTTTAAGGTCCCGTAGGATCAAGAGAGTGGCTTGTAGGAAATGGACTCACTTCCTCGCTCGGCGCAAACAACTTCCTTTCTGTGCCGCGTGGAAGCGTGCCAGCGTGCAGGCCGCTCATAATGACTTCCTGGTTTCAATCCGCAGCTATTAGCTCAAAGCCTGTGTATTTGTCTCTTCCCCTCGCAGCTCTCGTCTCTCATGTCGTCTTTTTTTTCTCTTCGCTACATGGCTGCGTTCTCCAGGGGCCCGTTGTGGTGTCTGTGACAAACCCGTGGTGGGTGCAGAGGAGGACCAGGCGTACTGCCAGATGATTAAAAACCGCAATCTTGCAAATCACCTTCTGTCTCTTTTATTCAATGATACATCACAGGCAGTATGGGAAACTATACGTAGTAGTCGGCGTCCCTGTGAATATTGGTCTTAAACCCCTGTTGCTTTTTACATTGAATATTTATGTATATTTTGTTCCTGAAGTATATCATAGGTTTTTAATTAAACAAAAGATTATAGAACATTTTCAAGCTAAAACAGCATTTTAAGGAGTCATACAAATCAACTTGTGGTGAAGAGGGAGCTGAGTTGAAAGGCAAACGATTCACTGGTTAATCTGCGTTCCCACTTAAGTTCATGAGCTGTGGGTAATGACCGAAATGGCGAGATCGCGGATACAAGTGGTCGAAATGAGTGGCCCTTTAAGAGCTCCCAGGTAAGAAGCTCAGGCACGAAGGAGGAGCTCAGAGTAGAGCTGCTGCAAGAAAAGAATGGACGTCTGCATTTTGTTTTTTGCTAATAACCACACTGCAACATTGTTCCCTCATCAAAAACAGACCTGGAGGTGGCGTTTTAGCTTTTTTAATCATGTTTGTGGTTGAAGTAAGTAATGAACTTCACATACAAGAGTCACAAAGCGTTGTACAACTGTTGTGGGCATTTTGGAAGTGGGGTCGCTATACAGGAGATGCATGCCGAACCTATTGAACATGTTTAAAGTGGTAACCAGAGAACCCAGAGGAAACTTATACCGACACGAGGAGAACATGCAAACTCCACACAGGAAGGCACGGAGGCAGAATCAAACCCAGGACCTTCTTACTGTCAAGCACAAGTACTATCCACTGTGCCACTGTGAAAAGTTTCATGACGTCGTTATCTCTTGTATCGTGACCTCACTGAGCCTTTGTGGGTTGAAAATACTTACGACAGTGAAAAGCAACACAATAGGGAAGTGAGAGTTCAAGTAGTTCAGGCACTGCCACTTAGTTCTATATATATCTAAATATATTTGAAGTTTTTTATATTAGATATAATGGGTTGATGATCCTGCAAGAAAATGGCTGCTGTAGAACGTATGACCATGAATGTGTCTGCCATATGACTGGTTTAAACTGGCCTGGAGTTGGAAATATTCAGTGATCGTCTGGCTGAAGTATTTGGGATTTTCCAAGCGGCAGCAGCAGCAGTAGCAATAGTAATAGTAGCAAAGAGAGGAAATGATTGCAGTGGTTTGGGGATATCAAAACAGTGGCTGAGGTTTTTTGGTATTCTTTCTAACAAACTATTAAAAATGGAAAGATGTTTTGAATTGGTGGCCCCTAAAAACAGAACACATTTTCTGTTGTGGGATTGTTGACTCACACAATCAGTGCTTATCAAGACTCCCAGGCCTGAGAAAATACGCCTGAGCAGAGCAGATCGATAGTGACATGTGAGAAAAAGCAGGTAGGTATGCATATTGTTGATTTGACCCTTTGTAAAAACATTACTAATGAGTCACTAATTTGAAAGTATGTGGAAGCTGGAGAGGAGGTTTGTGCTGTGTTTAAGATCAGTGCACTTGATAAAAATCAGGGAAGGACTAATTTCTCTTTTTGTTTAGTTTTCGAATCAAATCGGTTGTTCAGTTTGCAGCATTTTTCATTCAGTGGCAGTTTCCCTTGACATTTGATGCCACTGTGCACTTAACGGCATGTGTGAGTGTGCACGCTCTTCTCTTGGAGGGATTATTTATTTCACAGTGGTTTATGTTAGACTACTCCATGTCTAATGGACTATGTCTGTGAGCTGAGACACAGTGTAGGCCTCCATATTTCAGCAGAATAAAGCCTGAACCGGCCTCTGTCACCTCTGTCTTCTGGGGACACTGTGATTGATCAGAGGACAGGAAGTCACACTGTTGCTGACGGAGCACACTTCCTGTAATGCAAGGCGTCTTATACGTTTGTGAGAAGGTTGTTGGTGTCTCTTTGAAGTCAGCTGACCTAGTAAAAGTACAGCACTGTGCCATGTGTAAGGGAGCTGTCTATGCATGAACGCTCAAAGTTAAATATTTGTCCAAAATAATTGCCTGCCACTTGAATACTGTACATGTCTGAAGTGTCTCAACCACAACAACAGATGTGTCTGGGGATAGATGCCTCGTTGGTGTTAAAGTTTTAAGTATGTAACTCTAAATTAATAACACATTTTAAGAATTGTATTAAATTGACCTCCTGGCCTTAAATGTTGATATAAAATAAGTCATTTTATTAATTCTAATATTACAGTTAAGTCCCGCCTTCCCTTCTCCAAGGGCTGTCAATCATCAGCGCTGATGCTCGTAGCTGCTCATGCTCAGTTGTTTGTTTTCGCGGAGCCTCCGAATCAAGCCTCTATTAGGCTCTGAACCTATATCCATAATCATTTATATACTGAACCTATATCCATAATCATTTATATACTGAACCTATATCCATAATCATTTATATACTGAACCTATATCCATAATCATTTATATACTGAACCTATATCCATAATCAAATCCTCTGCAGATGTGTCCTATAATATAATAATAGCTTCTTCCTGGTTTGCCGCGATCGTTTTTTTGTGCATTAAAACATTATTTTTTTCATGAAAACATTAACAAATAATTCTGAAAACCTCCGTGCATGTGTATTAATAATGTATAAGTATAATGTGTTCTCTCATTAACATTTAAATGTGTTATGGAAACGTAGGTGTAGACCAATCAGAAAGGAAGGGGGAGGAGCTTGCGTCGTTTTTTCAAATCAAGTACCTCTCTTTCTCTCTCTCTCTTTCTGACAAACTGCAGACAATCACTTTAAGATAGTTAGGCCTTGTTGTCTCGTTCAGGGCTTGTGTCTGTGACAGTCGGCCGTTCTTCGACTATGATCTGTTCTTACTCTGTGCAGTGAGCTGGACCAGAAGTGAGCTGTAGCTTAATTTAAGGGCACGGTCACAAACGAACTAGGCCAAGTGACCCTGATCGTTGCCACGGGGGTGTGAAGACGGCCCACAGTCACAAGGGTTTATTTTTTCAACCGTGCCAGACTATAAGTGCTGTCCAGCTGGTGGCGCTAATACTAACTTCAGCGACTACCTCTGGGTTTGAGTTCAATTTCCGTTCCTCTTCCTGTTTACATTTGGCCACTGTCCGCATGGATCTCGACTGTGGCCGACATCTCGAGCATGGATCGCGTTCCTTGCATCAGAGTCAATGTGAGATGTGTCTTTCTCCAATGTGCAGCAGCTTAGTGGGTTACGTGTGTGTGTGCGGGCGCCTTGTAAACACTGAGAAATGAACAAATGAGAACGAAAAGTGCGGCGTGCGAGCAGAGCGGCAGGAGCTGTATACAAGGGAATGTATTAACCGGGCTTTAGGTTGTGCATGTGACCGCAGCCTTAGCCCATCTCGGATAAAGAGAGGAGGGGGCTTCACTCTTCATATTTAAGTTTCCTAGGACTATGAACTTGTCTGGTCATTGGTTTGTAACCTGGGAGTTGCTTCAGTCCTGCACCAAACCTGTCCACGTTCTGCGGCCGCTGCGTGGCCTTGGTCCTCGTTCTGTAGCTTAGGTCCTGGATCATTAGCCCGTCCGTCCGTATGGAGAGGATCCCTCTCTCTATGTGGATCTCCACGAAGTTTCTTACTTTTTTCCCACTGGGTTTTTCTTATGAGTTTTTCCTTGCCGATGCTGGAGGGTCTGTTGGGCAGTTAGTGTCCAACAAGAAGGACTTTGGGGATGATCCAGGACACTTAACCATTCTTCAACATGTATGACATTTATTAACATTCATGGACATTAGTCTCTCCCTAAGTCCCTATGGACCAGTAACTGTAGATTCTGCATCTGGTTTGGTAAAGTCCTCTGTGTGACTACAGTTGTGATTTAGGGCTATACAAGAATTAGGCCCCGACTCCACTGGCTGCATAAAACGTACTACGTATCCGTCCAAACGTGTCCGTTTCATCTCCGTTTCCGTTATCTCCATGAGGGTGAATGGAAGTGGCTCCACTGCCCGCGACATGCGTCCGTATGAGGTGCGTACGGAGCTGTCCGTCCACGCAGGATGCAACGGACGCGGACGGACAAAATAGAAACAATCATATTTGTTCCGTCCGTTGACGCGTGTCGGGTCCGTTTTCCATTGAAAATACAATGGAAAAATATATTTACCACAACATGTATTGATATATGCTGTGGTCCTGGTTATAAGTGTTTGTTAATGACAATGATTATTAACAAATTTATTTTCATGTATTAAATTGAAACAGTTGTTTCCTGATCGCTTTCAAAAAAGCCTGGATATGTTGGAGTTCTTTTCTCTTTTCTCACTCCCCTTTTTCTAATTGCTTTCAAATAGTTTTGCCTCATGCATCGCAACGCTATTCTGTTTTACAGACGTCTGACGGGCAGCAGCCTTCGCGCTAAATTGTATTGTATTGTGTATTGTAACCGTGACCATGTAACTCGTGTACAGTACTTGGTGATCATGTTTCAAGCACAACATGTGCTTGAAACAGTTATACTGAAACTTAAATATGTGACTTTCTAACTGGTCTGTTGTGTGTTGCAGGTCTTCAGTGTGTGGACAACAAGAAACCTTGTGTGAACAACGCGACGTGTGTGACCTTTAACAATGGAACTGGACACTGCCGGTGAGTTAGAACTTAAACATTAAACACAGTCACATTACATGAAAACTGTTCAAACACGGACAGTTCCAAGTGAATGAAAAACAGGCGAGAGCCCATGTTTTTATAAGAGCCCCAGCCTGTCCACGGGACCATGAAGTTTTGCTCAGACACGAAAGGGGAATAAAGGAGGACTCTGTCTGACGAGCTCTTTGCCGCTGCATGGGAACAATATCAAAACACACTTTTCCACCGTCTAAATGTGATTTAGAAGAACTAAGTGGTTTCCATCGTTACACTGCTCAAAGGTCACCTCTGCCACAGAAAAGCTGAACCAGCTTTGTGCTGTAGTTAGATACATACTGTAGAAAAGAACCACGCCATAAGATTCATCCAGAATCATTAAGACTGTTTTGTGTTTACTTCTGCTTCTGCTGCTGTTGTGACATCATCGATTAACTCGTTTGAAGAATATCTTAACTTCTCTGACAGCTTGGCCTGATCTGTAATTAACAATGCTATCTGTTTAATTACTATGACTCTCCGGAGCCAAACTCTCCATAGAAAACATCAATAGTAGGTCATGAACCTGATCGTATTTCATTATATTTGATGTGAAACACACAGTTTGTCTGTTCCCAGAGCTGTTGGAATTTCAACAGAGAGTGAGCAAGAGAGCAGCATTCCTTAATCAGCCTGATTGAAGGTCAAACTGCGAGAGCCGCAGGTGCAAACAGACGTGTTCGGAGCATCTGTGTTTGTGACAAAACCACCTGTGGCTCCGGGGTCTGTGGGACACTCACTCAGGCTGATTAATCATGAAGGCTCCGGTCATAGCTTCAGACCATTCAATCAAATCATTACAGGGAGCGGAATTGAAAATAATGTAATCACTAAGACATTTGATTGTTCTGTATGCTTGTTTGTGTTTTGTTAATACAGTACTTGAGTGAAGTAAAAAAAAAAAAATTAAGTTAGAGAGTTGCCCAGCCTTGGAGACAGAGAATGGTTGTTCCTTTAGTGCTGTCAGCTGACAGAGCGCAGGCCTGATGTTAAACTGATTCAATAGTCTGACATTTTTTCTTTTCTCGTGCAACAAGTCCTAGTACACAGACACGGGATCATAGACACGCTCGTCGCTCCTGTCTCACTGCTCGGCGTTGTGCTGTGACTCAAAAGATTCATTGTATAAAAATCCAATTATGTGGTAGTTAGGTTCCTGAGTGTATTAAAGACAGCCGGTCGTGGGTAAACAGGCTCTATGGCTCTTCGCCTAGAGTGTAATTATCCAGCCAGAGGTCAGTGTTGAAGTGGTCAAACTATTTATGTGACACATCAAAATAAAACATGAGAAGTTTCAGCACAAAACCCGACAGACGCAGAGTGTTGTAATTAAACTGTTTTGGCTTAAGAGCATGTTTTAACAGTCCACTGCCTGTTGCTCCCAAGTGCAAGTTTTCCCAAGCCTTTTTGCAAATGTGCTGCATCAACAAAACAGGCGAGTTCGATCAGTTTTACTTATTAAAAACCCAAACATTGAGACAGCTTTATGTGCGACATGAACTCAGGTACCCCGCTCAGCCTGTGAAAAAGTGTATGGCTGCAGAAGAGCATGGGAGAGGTTGAGTGGTTGCCTTGAAGGCTGGGTGCAGAGTCGTCCAACCGGTGACACAGCAAGCCTGCGCTCTGAGAAAGGTGTGCATACAACCGGATTAGTGCATGTCACTGGCTTCAAGGTATTTGTAACTTACATCATTGCTACTGGCTCACCACATGTGCATCGCAAAAAGGCACAGAACCGAGCCATGTTTCTCCTCGTTCTCCATTTAAGTTCACACGATTTTGCCATATGCATCTTAAGGTGACGGAGTGAATGAGTTGAGGCCTTTCTTTCATCTGTGTCGCTTTTTCTACTTTAATGCCTTCAGTCTGAGGCAAAGACAGTGTGCTGTGTAGGCCTGCGTCTCTCTGATCTGACAGGTTGGATTTTGCTTCGGGCCAGACAGAGGAAGAGAAAGGGCCAAAAGAAAAGAGGATGTCTTCTTTTTGTGTAATTCGATGCAGAGTGCCTGGGAGCATAACTCCTTACTAATGATGAGAGAGCAGAGAGGAAGGAGGGGGGCAGTCTAATTTCCCCCATGCTACGCCTCCTTCATCAAACTGTCACTCAGTCATGGAGCCCCAAAGCTGCAGGGACTGGCCCCTCCGGCATGGCTCACCTGGCTTCATTACCCCTCCCCCACAAACTCACTTTTGTCTACAGCTCTGTATGTTTTATAGTCTCTGCTTGAAGGACTTTGTCTCTGACTCCCCAGATTTTTCTCCAAAATGTCCTGCGTGTGCTTGGTTTATGAATTAAGTTAAGTTAATGTTGTTCTTCTCTTTGTGATACATAGCGCCAAAATAAGAGCAAATGTTTTTACAGCTGGTGGTAGTTTTGCTGTCTTGTTTTTCGATTGGACTTGTCACCTTCCCACAGACGTTCTCCTCTCGAAGTGGAGTCACTGTGATATGAGTTTGATATGAGGCTCGTTGTTTGTGTTTGAGTGATTGGGGCACCTTGAAAACAAAGACAACACACGAGTACTGACACATTATTTGGACGTCAGCTTTGTATTTAGATGAAAAGAAGATGATAAAGAAAAGGCTGGGTTTAAAAAAATATGACCAATTATAATTTATACAGCTGCTCCATAAATTTGCGTTGTAATGAATCATTATTTTATGATATTTTTTTCAATTAATCAAGTAGTTTAGATCTCGAAAGGTCTGGAGTTTCGCCCCTTGAGATCATTCAATACATGATCTAATACTGAATTTAGACTTGTAATTGCTTATATTGATATTTGGCACCATTTCTCACTCGTGATTACAATGCAGCTGCCCTGGAATAAATATTGGCTTGGATTTTAACTCACACTTTGTAAATAGGAAGTCTTACAAAGCCGTGGGAAATGTAGCAACCAGAGCGAAGCCCACAGCCAGTGAGGTGACAAGTGCCACAATGTCACACACAGAGAGCCATCAAACAGGACTGAGCCGCATCCGATATATATATACGTGATTCTCAAGTAGAATCAATCAACTGTGTGTTTTCATGTGTATTCATATGACAGCAGCTCATTCTAACTAATTCTTCATTTTTGGTGAAATTGTGTTTTTAATATTGCTCCTGGTTCAAATAGACTTTTACTAACCCGCCTCCTATCGATCAGCCTCAGTAAGGCTTTGATTGAATTTTGTTTAGGGAAATATTTCATTAAATCAAAATAATGGTTTCTGCTTGGTTTAGAATGTTCCACCGTATTGCATTTATTCAGTGAAAAGCTTTAGTTGTATGTATGCTTGTCGTGATCACGATTACCTCTGCTCTTGTCAAACTTAGGTTATAACCAAGCCAAGTTCCCCGGATGGCGGTTCATGAAAGGCACCACAAATTATTGAAAGATTATAATTTTGGCTCATCCAAAGTGTGGATTCATAGAAAACCCATGAATTTCAAAGAGAGTTAAAATATCCACAAAATCCACCCTTTGTGAAAGCTTTAAGTTGTGAAAATGTCTTTTGTAGCGTGTACCTGTACATAGCAGAGGGACTTCAGAGAGACCCTTTCCAGATATAATTAACAATTAGTAAGTAAGTAAGTAAGTAAGTAATCTTTATTTATATACCGCCTTTCACAGACCAGAGTCACAAAGCGGTTTATAATTGTTATTATTTTTGGGCATTTGTCTCTCACTCCACACAGAGATGGGAGCGGGGCCAGTACAAGAGGCACATGCCAGAACTATTGTGCATGTTTTTAGTGGTAGGGGAAACCGGAGGACCCGGAGGAAACCTACACAGACACGGGGAGAACATGCAAACTCCACTCAGAAAGGCCCTGGTCCGGCCGGGATTCGAACCCAGGACCTTTTTCCTGAGAGGCGAGAGTGCTATCCACTTTGATGATTGATTAGTTGGCCAATAATTCTTTCAATTAAATCATTTAGTTGTTTATATTCCGAAAGCTGTGATATATATATTTCTTTACGTTTGACCAGAACAATGTGATCTCCGTAGCGAACCCTGGAGCCCAATTTGTATTTGTGAAGGGTTTCGAGACAGCCCTCCTCCTAACTCAGATTGTCTTTTCAAACAATCCCAGAACCTCTTCTCAGGTTGCCCTCGTTGACAGCTTAAAGAGCAGTCGGTCTGAATTGCGCTTAATTGCCCTTAAAAGCAAAAATAACCTTTCGAATGGCATAATGACAGAGAAGCAGCCAGTCGCAGCAGTGCAGAGGAGACAAAATGGGAGCTGTGTTTTCCACCACATCGCGGCATGTTTCTCTGAGCCCAGATTCTTACCACATGGCCCTGCTGTTGCCGACTCCTCCCAAAAGCCAACTATCCACTATCTCCTCTCACACTTTTTGTTCTGTCCGCCCGCTTCCTCCTCTGTCTCGTTTTTGTGTTTTTGGGGGTTTCACCAGAAGCTTCCACTACTATCTGCATTTCCTTCCGTGACTTTGGCATTTTCTTTACCCACGTTACAATACCCAGGCCACACACATTCATAGTTTCCATCACCTAAAAGGCTGTAATTGCACGTTTACGTCTGCTTTTTATTGTTCCATTTCATAACAGAAGACGCCGCTCTGTGCTAGTTTCTCATTATAGGATACATTTACATGCTAAATAACATGCTTCACAGCTTCTGATACTAAAACGGCAAGATTATGGATAATTACACATTCGGAAACTCTTGAAGATGACTCTTGTGGTTTCCTTCCTTTATAGATAATTGCCAATATCTAAATATCATCACTGCATCTTCAGCTCAAGTAAAATATCTTGAAGTTGACTGAAGTTTAGGGACATTTGTGCTAATGGGATAAACCCAAGAACATATCCACTTATGTTATTTGTGAGGTTCGCAATGTCATTTTATCTAGATGTATTTGATGCATGGAATTGGTTATTTTGTTTTATGCTCTGTAAATAATAATCTGCTTCAATAAAATGGCCCATCCATAGCAGCAAAG